AAACTTCAAGAACCCGGCCCCACAGCCTGGAAGATCCACATCAGCCATCGTATGCCGGCCGTGAAAGCCTTCGACAATACACAAAATCAGAAGTCTGATAGCACCTTTTCTGACTAAAATCCTGATGTAGAGTTTAAATCGGGGGGAAGTTGGGGGGGAGGAATCTCTCCTCCCCTCCCTCCCCCCACCTCTTCCCAATTTTCCCCCCTAGACAGACACTTGATATCCTCTAGTCTATAGTTTTCAAAAATTGTAAAGACTATTTATGGTGCTTGGTTGTTTTCCTGAAGATGTTTCATCACCATGTTTGTTACCACATTGCACAGAGAACACCTGCAACCCAACGGTTCAGCTCTACATACCTGATCTACCATTGAAATAATAGTAATTGGATTAATCTGTCTGTCTGTCTGTCTGTCTGTCTGTCTGTCTGTCTGTCTGCCTGTCTACTCACTCATTCTAGGCCATGAAAGTTACATCACCTTTTGCCACTTAGAAAACGAAGTGGCTTTCACCTGCAGTGCGGATCACACTATCAGAAAATGGGATGTGATGACCGGGAAATGCCTTGCTATTTATCGAGGACACACATCCATTGTGAACAGGTACAGGTTAGGATTGTTATTGTGGTGCAATGTTGTTATGAAGGCCACGCTCAGGGAGATAAGCGTTTCCTTAGCCCCCAACAGGAGCATGGGAAGTTTAAGAAGATGAGGCTGGCACCACCCTAAGGAATGCACGGTGTTGTGGCTGGGTGGCTTGGGAACTTAGGTTCAGTCTGGAGAGATTTCTGTCTTGAGGTGAAGCTAATAAACGCAACTGAACTGTATTTGCACTGTCTTGTGGAGCTCTTTGGGTTGAACCTGACAGTTATTTACCGTTTCCTAGACTTGCCCTCTCTCTCTCCAGCCTCTCCATCATCAGAGCTTAAGAAGTAACAGCTGGACCAGACCAAGTACCTGCCTAGTTTCTATCCCCCAATGGCCAAGCAGTGGTTTCCAGGAAGTTCACCAAAAGTGGTGTATAAAACATTTTGAATTCAGCTCACATTAGCTTTGAAGCCCTCCCATTCTGAGGGCCAAACAACTTGTTCTGAAAATGAAAGAAGCAGTTTCAACCGTTCTTGCTGAGCTCCGAGTGCTCCTAAAATGATTGACGCAGCCCGCTTCACCCCAAACGGTTATCGTGTGCTTAAATAACTGGTTTCAATTTGAGACATTTGGTGTGAGATTAGTGAAGTGATAGTTGTCTTCCCCTATTTCTCCCTAGCAGCTGGTTTTTAAAAAAATTATTTAATTAAATTACTAGGGCTGGAATGTAAGAAGGACATGAGCAGTGTTTTTCAACCTCGGCAAGTTTAAGATGTGTGGACTTCAACTCCCAGAATGCCCCAGCCAGCATAGGAATTCTGGGACTTGAAGTCCAGACAGGTTAAAGCGGCTAAGGTTGAGAAACGCTGGCCGAGGTTGATGTTTTCATTGAACCGTCCACCATGAATCCCTTCTCTAATCTGTCTCTGCCAGTTCAAATAACACTAATGTACAGGTGAAATTGGGATGCTTAGCACCACATTGGATTACACTGCTTTTTCTCTCATTCTTTCTCTTTTGAAAAGCTGGCATCTCCTCCCATGGCACGGGGCACAAATCGATTGCTGCTTTGGGCTGAGCTATGAGTTATATTAGCAACAGCCCTGACCCAGCTTCAGTCTGTGGACAAAAGACAGGAAGAAAAGCAAAGGGAAATTGAGCAGAACCCACTGCTGGAAATTAAATTCCACTTTAGGGACAAAAAAAATCTCAGTCGGTAACAGATGCACCTGAAGAAGAGATTTTTAAAAAAACATTGTGTTAAGCATGGTTTTTAGCAGCCGAGCGGTAAAGCTGATGCTAATTTTACTGATTTGGAATCCTAAATTCTACTTCATTGTTGATACCTGATTTTATTGTTATTTACTCTGTAAGCTGCCCAGAGTCCCCGTGTGTGAGTTGGGCAGCCGTATAAATTGGTTAAATAAATACATTCAATCAATCAATCAATCAATCAATCAATCAATCCCTGGAGTTGATACCCCTGGAGAAGTTGGCTTGCTTATTCTGTTTGATTTACAGAGCCACCCATCTGACTTGCATGATTCTGGCCGGCTTACAACAATTTAAAAGCTACCCCCCTCAGTAAATAACAAAACACTTTAAATCGTATAAAACCAAGACAAACGAATTAACAAAATCCATAGCCGAGGTCTAAAAAACAATCTACGCTCCCTGTACACTGTATAACGTAACCACTGTATGGGCTCACTCTACTGCTTTAAGTCAGGCCTTGTTTTATGATATTACATTCTTTGTGCAAGCAATACATGCTTTTTTTTTGGAGCTCTCTGCAAAAGTATTTTTGCAGAATAAACTTCCTCGATAAATTGGCAGCTTCGACTAGATAGAGAAGATTGCTGCTGTATTATGATTAGTTATAGACTCAGCGTGGAGCTATCATAATCTTCCTGAGGTTGGCCAAGGGGAATGTTTCATCAGGGGAGTGCGCCTATTATTTTCAGGCTGAGGGGTACAATTTGTCCTTGGATATCATTTTGGGACCACCCTCTGAAAAATTGGCTGGAGGGCAGAACAGAGAAGGAGTTGGTGATAGGACAAAAGCTAAATATGCTTTAATTTAAACTGAACACAGAATACATTAAATTTAGTATGATTAATATGGTTATTCCTCAAGTGTTTAATACATGTTCTATCTTGTATTGGCTACCATGTTTTGGAAGGGCGTTGGGGCACATGCAGATGGTGCTGGGACCTCAGATAATAATTGGCAAGTTTAATCTCAATGAAAGTTGCTTTGAAATGTCAAATGCTCTGACGGATTCCCAAAGGTTTGTACAGAAATCAGTTCACAATAAACATCACACTGAAAATATTGCCTGCCTACAATCGCTGTTGGTAGTTTTGAGAATTTGGGACGGGCGTATTTTGTTCTCATTCCAATTAATTTTGGAAATACGAGGGAAATACGTTCTTGTGGAGTAATGTGTTTAGTTCAGCATCCCACAGTTCGTTAAAAAGCTGGAGAGGAAAAAACCACAGAGATGCCTAAAGCTGCAGGCCTGAACATACTTACTTGAATGGTGATTCATAGGAATCCACTGTAAACAGATCCTAGAGAAGGTCGATCAAGGTAGGGAAAGCCTGCAGACCTTGGCTTTTGGAATTCTTGGCAATGGGAAAGTTAGAATAAGCTTAATCTCCAAAATGGACTTTCTACAAAAATGGAATGCCTGCTTCCAAGTTATGGTGTTAAGCCAGGATGATAAGGTTTGTCAACGGCTGTTTTCTCCCAACAGGATCCTAGTTTTCAAGGATTACCTCTTCAGTGGGTCCTATGACAGGACTGCACGCTGCTGGAGTGTGGATAAGGAGAAGCCAATCCAGGAATTTCGGGGCCATCGGAATTGTGTCCTGGCACTGGCGCTCTACTCTTCAAAGGATGTCCTTGAAGAGGAGGAGGTGGAGGAGGAGATGGAAGAGGTGGAAGAGCTAAGCCGAGACTTCCTGGTAACTGGGAGCACGGACTGCACTGTCAAGGTCTGGTGGGTGTCCAGTGGGCGCTGTCACCAGACCCTGCTGGGACACACTGGGGCTGTCTTATGCCTTATACTTGATGCTCCAAACAGGGAGCTCTTTTCGGGAAGCACTGATTACACCATTCGGACTTGGAACATCATGACAGGGGAGCAGCTGAGAGTGTTCAAAGAGCATCAAGGATCTATCATTTGCCTAGAGGTAAGGGGCTGGTGGCATTTCTTCCAAGGTTGGCACTGAAGCTTGCAGCATTTGTGCAACAGGCATTTCTTGGGGGAAAACAAAACAGGAGAGGAAGCTGATTGGAAGAAGGAATTGGGTACGTAGAGTTGGAAAGGGATTCTTAACAAAAGAACATAATCCGAACAACCCTATTCTATTTGTCCTACGAGAGAAGAGTAGTAGGCCATAAGATCTCTGTGGTGAGTGGATTCGCAATCCAGAATATCCCACTGTGGGTGGGAGAAAACTAACTGGCTACAGTAATCTCTAACATTAGTTTTGGATGACCACATTGGAAAAGCCCAGCTATTGTGGTTTCTGAACCCATGGTTTATGACTGTGATGTATGGACCCAAATATTGTGGCTTATTCAGGAAACCATAGTTTAAGTAAACCATGATTTAGAATGATGTTTGAAGCTAGCCTGTATGAGGATGTGGCAATGGAGGTGAGAAAGCCTGTGGATACTCACGGATAGCAGAACTTGGAGACTCTCTGGGGGGCAGATGTAGGAGCAACAAATGTTTGTATGTTCTTTTATTTCATTGCATTGTTTTTATTATTTTCTGGTTGAACAATAATATCTGGACTGAAGCCAAATCATAAATTCTAAGGAAAATGTTTAGGAGGAGTAGGAGTGCTTTGGTATATTTAATTCCTGTTTTTAACTGAATTCTTTATCGGACTGTGGTTTAGCTGTGGAATTTGCTACCACAAGATAGAGTGATGGCTAACATCCCTTAGAGTCAGTGATGGGAAACATGAATAGAAGGCTTCTATTTTGATCATTTCCACCCATCGTCTCTCCATTGACACCTATTGTCCACCATGGATTCTAATGCTCCTTAGAGAGGTCTTTATTCTGATCCAGCAGTCTTCTGATAGAATTAATTATGTTTTGATAATTAATCCTCAGTATGATCACTCTACACATGTCTGTGTTCCAATGCATGTTTAGCTTGGAATAAATTTAACAGACTTCTCTTGAATGATTGATTGATTATGTGCCATCAAGTTGGTGTTGACTCTTAGCAACTAAATAGATCTGGGGATATTCCATCTCTGACTGGTTGGGATTGCACTTCCTCATTCAAGAGTGGGCGTCTTCCTGGATTCACAGCTCCTGGTTGATGAGCAGTGGCAGTTTTGGCCAGGAAGGCCTTTGCATAGCTTCATCTGGTGTGCCAGTTCTCCCCTTCTCTTGATTGGGAGGCCCTTCAGATAGTCACTCATGCCCCGGTCACCTATGCCTTGACTACTGCAACATGGTCTACATAGGGCTGCTCTTGGAGACCTGGAAGCTGCACCAGGGAGCTTTAGCTGGTCCAGAATGCAGCGGCGCAGGCAATGATGGGCATGCCTCGGTATGCCCACTTAACACCTTTGCTTTGTGAGCTGCACTGGTTGCTTATGGGTATGATTCAAGGTGCTGGTCATTACCTATAAAGCCCTACATGGCACGGGGCCAAGTTATTTGTGGGACCACCTCTTCCTAAGGGTATCTGTCTGTTCCACCAGATCAGATAGAGTGGGTACACTCCAGGCCCCTTCCCTCAAATGTTGCCATCTTGCGGGACATAGGAAGTGTGCCTTTTACGTGGCAGCCTTGCCCTCTGAGACACCCTTCCCTTGAGGTCCAGCAGGTCCCACCCTCATCCTTTCGGAAAGCCGTAAAGAGCTGTCTTTTCCCCTAAGCGCTAGCATAGGAAGAGAGGGCTGAAGGTTGCATCAAGGAAGTCTGGTTATGGCGCCAGGTTTTTCTCTTTCTGTTCTTACTGCTTTTATTTCTTGTTGAAAAGAATGTGATTGTGATTGTTTTCTTTAAAGAACAAAAGGCAATGTAAGAAGCTGTCTATAAATATGGCGGAAAGATATGGTATGGGTATGCCAGGATAAAAAGGTGTAGTGAATGGTGTGGGAGTAAACCAGTTTTAGCTATGTTTCCTTTCTTTTTTCTTATCTCATGCGTTTACTTTCTTTGGCTTTTCTTTCTCCTTTTTTAGCTCTGCATAACACTGCTTTCCCCAAAGGCAATAGTGTGATGGGTGTGTGTGTGTGTGTGTATGTGTGTGTAGGCATGGTTATTTGTTGAAGCTGGACAGGAAGGGCTGGAGAAGGAATGTGGAGCAGGTGACATTGGCGCTTACCTAATTGTTCTTGCAATCAGAATGGTGAAATTGCAGTGGTGGAACAAGATGGCGTGTGAGGAGAGGGGCTTTGGAAGTTTATACCAATAAGGAAGAAAGAGAAATGCATTCTCAAGGAAAGAAGTGCAAAGTTGTATTGATCACAGTCTTTTTGACAACCAGTTACCATTTTGCCTTTTTTCTTCTTTACTGGAAGCTCATTACCTCTACATTTCCTTGGGGAGTTGTTTGTTGGGGTTCCCATTTGATTCCTCCTTTCTGTGTACTAGGAAAATCCAGGATAGGGAATTTTATTCTTGATTGATTATGTGCCATCAAGTTGTTGTCCACTGTTAGCGACCACATAGATAGATTTTCTCCATGATGATCTGTCCCTAACCTGGTCTTTCAGGTCTTCTAATAGTGCATTCATTGCCACAGTATATGAGTTCATCCACCTTGCTGCTGGTCATCCTCCTCTCTTTTCTTATACCTTTCCCACCATCAGAACCTTCTCCAGAGAGCTAGGTCTTTGCATAATGTGTCCAAAGGAGGATAATTTGAGCCTGGTCATTTGTGTCTTGAGTGAGAACACTAGGTTGATTTGTTCTATGATCCATTTGTTTTGTTTCCTTGGCTGTCCAGGAGTTTGGTCCAAGTTCAAAAGCATCAATAGTCTTCCTGTCCTGCTCCTTTAAAATCCAACTTTTGCTTCTATAGAGTGTCACAGGGAAGACCATGGATTGCACTGTTCTGTTCTTTGTAGGTATAGGCACATCACGGCATCTGAATATCTTTTTCAAAGCCTTCATGGCTGCTCTACCAAGTGCTAGTCTGAGGCTATTTCTTGACTGCTTGCTCCTTTATTGTTGATAGTTGATCCTGAAAGGCAGAACCTGTCCACCACTTCAGTATCTTCACTGATAATAAGAAGGTATCTAAGATTTTATTCTTAGGGAAAGATAATAATCAACTCACCTTCCCTATCTCTTAGGAACTATTACTGCAGAAGAGAAGATGGTGCCTAAAATTGGAAATGCTCCCTATTCCCCCCTCCCCAAATTTTAAATGTAGTTCTAACTTGGTTGAGGCTCTCTTGCTACAGAAAGAAAAAATTGACAGCATTGAAAGAATGCAAATGCCCAAATGTTTGTGCTGTTGCCTAGTGCCTGTTTCAAAGATTTAGGTTCCAATCCTATACTTGTATACCTACAAATGAGTCACATGAGTTCAGCTGGATTTATATCTGAACAGCCACCGACAGGATTATGCAAAAAGGAGCTCATCCAATTAGCGGTGATTAACTTGTTGGTTCCATATGTAGAAATAAAAGTTGGCTGGATTGCTGTGCATAGTAGTATGGATAGATTTGGAGAAGAGAAAAGGGTCTGTGAATGGGTACACAAGGGTGATTATTGGAACAATAGATTATTCCAAGGTACAGAGAATTGTTTTATGCTGCTGGCTGTGAAGGAAGCATTCTTCTGAGAATCTCTGGTGTTCCAGATTTCTTTGGTGTACCTGCAAAGAAATTGGGATTTGCCTTTTCCA